CTTCAAGAGTCGGGTCCCAAGATAGAGACGGTTGCATTGTAAGACCACTAGGGCATACAGTATGAGAGGCTTTAACCCACTCGTTCACAGCCTTAACAATAATATTTTTTTGGAGATACGGCATAGCAAGGTTATCTTAAAAAAATTGTTTATTCCTCCATTTCCATATATACACCAGCACAAGAAAATAAATATACTACCCCACCCAGTTTGTTTACACCATACTGGCTTGTAATTCAAATTAGCCAGTAGCCAAGCTTCAACATCAAGGTTAAAGGACAACCATAATTGTCGGTGGATTCCCATCAATTCCCAAATACTACGTGCTCTTGTGTAGTCCTAAAGTAAAGTATACGAAGAATGGTCTCTTAAGGCCAAGGGCACAAAGTATAAGAGGAATCAAGAGTCGAGTTTCTCTTTGCCCTTTGCTCATTTGTTAAAAGCCTATCTTTGGTAATTGACCAAGAAAGATCTTAAATTTTGGATGGCCCTTCAATTTCCATATATCATACCATGGAGAATGAGACCATTCAACTCCGTAGAAAAGGAGCACATAAGCTGTTTTGACACTGAATTGACCATTTGAACTTTGTCCCCATATTTTCTTATACATGCCAGCACACAAAGCACCAACAGGGTGACTAGCTATTATTTGGACCAGCTCTTCTGGAAGATCATTCCTTAATTTGTTTAGATCCCACCAACCATCTTTAATGTAAGCAGCAACACAAAGTTCGTAGACATATCACTAACACTATCAAGTTTATTGATTAACGGCTCTCTAAAAATCCAAGGGTCCATCCAAAACTGTGTGTTCAGTCCATTGCCTATCCTTCATAGCACTTTTTCTAAGCAAATCAACACCATGCAGTACACTGTACACTCTTCCAAGTATAAAGGAAGGCCCACCCAAAGCCGAGTGCAGATTATAGGAAGAACCTGAACCGCCCAAAGCAGCCTAGCAGTTGCTAGTTAGAGCATTCCCAATGTGGGCTTTATCCTCCAAGAGACTACTATATTTCAAGCCTTAGTGAGAAATTTCATCTCCAATGAGCCGGAAAATGAGGCTAAATCCACCACTTGGGTAGTATAAACTTGGGCTACATCTAGCCCTAAAAAACAATGGGTCCCACGAGAAAAGTAGCAACCCATATGAGCCACATTTTGTCACTCTCCCTCCACTTACGATTACAATTATACTCTCTTTTACTATTTTTTAAATTCTTTTTCCCTATATATTTTTCTTGCAATTTGGCTAATTATGATTGTTTTAAATTCCATAAGAATCAAACTTTCAAACGGATTTAACATTCATGGGAATTAGTAGGTGAAATTTTCAAATAAAATTTTTCAAAATTGTATGATGATAGGAGCATATTTATGCGACTTAGTTAGCTTGTTTCTTTGCATTTACTTAGTTTAATTTCCATTTATTATAGTGATTTAGTGTATTTTCGTGTGTTTGTAGGCTAAAATGACAAAGTTGGCAAGAAAGTGCAATTTGGAGCATTTTAGAGCAGTTTTGAACTGGAATGGATAGCTTGCATATGGAGTAAGGTGGATGGACGTTTTTGAAGTTCAAGAGAGGCTAGGAATGTGCTTAACATCTGAAGAATCAAATTTGGAAGCTTGGAAGATAAGGAATCGGCTCAAAAGAAGGAACATTATCCAAACCTTATCCAACCTTATCTTATCCAAACTAACCTTATCTTATCTTATCCTATCCTAATCTTATCCTACCTTAGTTGCAGCTGCAAGAGGGAATCAATTTCAGATTAATTCACCTAAATATATGGTTCTAGAAGCCCCATCTTTCTCCTACAAGGATGCTGCACCTCTCTTTCCTTTCCCCCCTTGGTTTTTGCCAAACCCTAGTCCTTTTCCTTCTCAAATTGTGCTAAACATATCCCTCTCATCTCAGGAATTCATGATGAGTTCCCTAGGCTTATATATACATATTTCTGCCGCATAATTGAGACCACCACATCCCATATCTTTCACCACAATTCACACCACCCATCCACCACACACAATAGCGTAATTTAAGAGACAAACACTTTTGTGCCGCAACTTTGCAAGGAGAAAGGAGAGGAGATTTTTGGAGCCGTGCCCTGCCATTCAAGCTTGGATTGCTGGAACGTTTCTAAGTGTATTCTATCCTTTGTTTTCAATGTTTAATTTAAGTTATCTTTGTTTAAGTGCGAAAATGAGGAGCTAAATTCGTTTTAGCTAGAGGCGAATTCAAAGCCATGAACATATATGGCATATGAATTGATTACGTTCAATTATTGTTTCATAAATCGTGAATGCAATTTACTTATCTGTTTGATTGATAACTTATTCTTGTGTGTTGATTAAGGATGCACACTTAGCTTGCATGCATGGATTTGATGCTAAAATGTAAGGGAATTTCACCTTATCGTTCTGAACTTATATTTATAAGTAGTGGAAGTCGCTAGTCACGATTGAGTTAAGTAAATTCCTGGCAGGAGTATCATGCAGTTCATAGTTACGAATGTCATGTCAATGCTTATGATTTTCATAGAACTTAATGATCTTTGATATGTATCTCTATCATGCAGTTCATATAGGGAACTTGATAAGAATAATTTGATTGCGTCGCTGAGTCCAATTCAATGAATTTAGGAAAATCTGAAAGTTAATTTGTGCTTCTCATGATTAATTTGGGGCATTATCATTCATGGTTTATAGGAATAATAACTGGAAATCGATTTATATGCATATGTGTCATGTGTGGAGAAGGACCCTCTAGCTAGCCATTCACCCATTAAAACACCCAATTTCGTCCAAAGTTGTTTAGAGTCTTTAAATCTGTTTGTTTTTACTTTAAATTCGTCAAAAACCACTTCCCCCTTTATATTTCGTGTCTTTTAGTTAGAATTTGTCCAAACTGGTTTCTTTTTATTGTTTTGAGTCTTTTTAGTTCAATTTTCGTCCAAAGTCACCCTTAGTTTCTGTTTTGAGTCAATTAGCTTGTTTTGTGTTGTTTTGAGTCATTCTAGTTTGTTTTGAGTCATTAGAGTCTAGTTTTCTGTTTTGAAGTTTAATTTGTGTTGATTAGCATCCCTAACTAATCCCCGGCCTAGAATGATCCCTACTTACTCATACTACAATTGCATAATATATAAGGTTTAATTTGTGTGTTAGTTTCTACCACATCATATGATACTAATTTACCAATTGGTGCTAGGTAAATTGTGTTGTACGTGAAAATCAAATTATTTCATAAAGTGAATTGGAGGTTTGTATCTTTCAATGAAGGGAGGATGAAATAAAAATCTAATCCAACGTACGGTTCGTAAGTAAAGGAAATCTAACTTTATCATAATATGTTAAAATATAAATAGAATCCGTGATTTTTTTGGGAGTAAAAACTCTTTCGTCCTACTTATGATAAAGTTAGATTTCTTTATTATTAAGAACACAAAAAAAACAAAAAAACAAAATCCAACATACAATTCCATTCCCAACCCAAACATTGAAGCTCAGGAAAAAAAAGTGTAATTCTTTTTTTTTTTTTTTTGGTGTCCTTAATAGTATGGAAAATTTACTACACTAGAGTAGAACAAAAATAATTCTAATTTATTTCTGAATATTGAAAGAAATGTTCGATTTTTTTTTTTTTTTTGAATCAAAGAAATGTTCGAATTGAATTAACAAAGAAAAACACTACTTCATAATTATGGCATTTAGCCCAACAAACACAAAAGGCCCATGCATAATGATTACAAGTCCAGCAAGAAAATTTGAATAAAAATATGGTAATTGGGTTTAAGCCTAAATTACAACCCACTATCTTCTTCCCAGCCCAGTCTGAATATATAAAACCTCTTCACTCTCTTTGACTTTACCGTTTGACTTCTGACATTAATTTGCTTTGACAAAAAATTGTGATAAAAAATTTCCCTCATTCTTGATACTGTAGATGGAATACACGAACTAGAATTATTGGCTGGAAATAGAGATTGGTTTGGCATGAGAAGTAGAATCATCGTTACAATAAGAGACGAACGTCTTCTAGTTGAGCATCGTATAGACAAAAAAGAAGATGACGGATACGGGACTTGTGACCCATGTGTGAGGATTGATTGCATAACCTATCCTATTTTTCTTATTTCGGATTTGTTACCAATTCAGTTTGTGTACAATTTTGCTCATCAAACACGGGGTGGATTACATGTCCAATTTAATTGAAAATAACTCATTCCATCCGGCTGCCAAACAGGGCCATAAGGTTGAGGAATTAAATGATGATGAAGCTGTGGAGCTCTTCGGTTGTAATGCCTTTAGGAAAGTTCGTTGTGAGGAAGATTATTTAGAACCGTCTAAGTGCTTCATAAATTATGCTAGAGGCCTTCCGTTACTCTTAAAATTTTGGGACCTTTTTTTGTATAGGAGAGGCATTGATGTATGGGTTAGTATATTGGATAAACTTGTGGAAGGGGATTTGTTTTTGTGTTGGTTTTGGAGATGAGAAAAATCTATCTGCGCTTCCTGAAGATGATTATTCCAGATTCAATGTTTATTATCCGAACAAGTCTTCTGTCCGGATTGAGTTTTGGGAACGACAGGCATCTCGTGAGAGATCACCTTTGAATGTTTTACATGCATCAGCAAGAATATTGGGATGCCACACCCACAGGAAATATTACTTCCAAGTTTCTGTTAGAAATGCATTGGGGTTCAATAGGAGGATCGAAAAGTTTCAATAGATGCTTGATTGTGAAGAAGTGTGGAGCGCATTTGGTGTCAAAGCAAGACTTGGAAGAACTGAATGGAACGAGGAATATCCTAAGGTGAACACATGAATATGGTGACCAGGTAGGTCCAAGTTGAAGTGATAGTCTGATGGCAAAGAAACACTCTGCAAAAGCGAATGGTTTTGTGCTTTATTGAATGATTTAATGATCCAAAATGAAGTGAATTTCAAAATCTGATGGTGATGCTTCTCAGAATTGAAGTAACCATCTCCGAATCTATGCTAAAAAAATGCTCTCTCTATGTTTCTATTAATCATTCTATCGGAAACCAGTAATTAATCAGAGTTGGTAATCCATGCTACAAATACATGCTTAAATCCATACCTACCTTGTACACTTAAATCCATGCTACAAATACAATGCGGTTTAATAGGAACAAACTTGCAGCCGCATATATGCTTGATGTAGCATTGGTGACGAGGAGAAAGCCAGTGTTCCAAATGTTAAATCTGGTGTTTATAGCCCACTTGCATCTCGGACTGTATATCTCAAGTTCAACCGCATTCTTCATTCCATGACCATTCTTCCACGTCCATACACGATCATTGAATTGCGGCAAAGCAGAAGACCCAGTCAATGGGTGGTGAAACTGACCTAGCTAGTACGTAAGCTTCATTCCGAAATGCAACAAGCTGCACTGCAGAGGAGAAGTAGACAGTAAGAGTAAAGAAATACCGTACGGCATAGAGGCACCAACAATCAATGCAGGACACAACGTTAGCTTGTAGGTTTACTTGACAGAAGTTCTTCAGACTCCTCCAAGCTACTGATTATGTGTAATTAGGGAGGACTGACAAAAAACGTCACCAGATACGCAATCATCAATTAATGCAAAAGGAATAACCGGGTTTCGTATTTACAAACTTCATGCAATGAACATAAAGAAAGAACAGGAAAGTCAATGCAGTTTATGATCATACGAAATTTCAAAGAGGGGAGAAGAGATTCTAAACTGGGGAGTGTACAAATTGAAGACAACATATGGAAGAAGAGCATACAAATTGAAATTAATTAACAAGAAAAATTCTACAGTATTTATATGTTTTACCTGAAAAATCTATGTTTATCCTCCACTGCCTCCTTAATCATGCTTGCCCCCACTACAAAGACCAAAGGACAAATCAAACTTATTAGAGTACTAGGAGCTAAAGAAGTGATGAACAAAACAGCTGCCAACACAAAATACAGACTGGCAACTCTCCAGAACTGCTCTAAAAGCACTTTTGGAAGAACAATCACATCCCGTCACCTCTACTAACCATGAGCGAGAGCGAGGGGAGAGAATGGCCGAAAACAAACCTAAATTGTGGATGTTCATGGTGTTGAGTTTAGCATGCGGCAGATTTTTTCTATTTTGGGACCGCGTGTTTGAATTCATACTAGAACGGCCAATTTCCCATGGGATATACTATATATACTACGTCAGCTCTGGTTTTTTGGGTTATTTTCTGGAGTAGTAACAGATTGGAAAACTAAAGCCTCGGCTGTCTTGGCAAGTTGCATTAAGGCATGTGCAGAAAATTCAGAAACTATACGGAAAGAAAGGGCAACTGAAAAAGAACATGAGGTCCTGGAGGCAGAGAACAAACGTGTTTTGGAAAGTTAAAAAATAGGGGTGTGATATCCATACACCCTTTTTTACTTCTCCAACACCTTTTTAGTTTTTGGCTGTCGGATCGGATGAATTAAAGAAAATCAACGGACATATATTAACAAGGGGTGTGTGAGAAGTAAAGAGGAAAAATATAATTTTCGATATATTCTACTCCTTTATGGACTTAATTAATTGTGGCTATATCAGACCTATTTAAGGACAAAAAAATCACCTACCAAGTTCCAACCATGTTTAAAATAGTTCAGTTAGGCAACATCTGCAGCTGAAGCTTCATTCTGAAAATAATCATGTTGAAATTAACCCGGTATGACAAACTTCTTCTCATCCTGCACATAAATAAATATTCACTTAATAGTTGCGCCTTAGTCTCACCATTAAGAATCTGCTTTCAGTTTGAGTTCAAAATTATCAGTACCCACAACAAAGAAACGATTCACAACTAGCACAATATTGTTATTGAATATCCTACAGTTATTTGAAGAACGATGTACAGATAGCTTCCTTATTGGTTTTTCACATATCATGATCGGCACTGCTCAAGCATTTTTACATTATCTCTATAGCTACTTATCTGTTCATAGCATAATAAATTTTGCTTCAATTCGGCTAATGTGAAAAAATCATAACATATTTTTCTTCCATATCTTCCATACTTTGCACTTTTTGTTGAAAACTTATTTACATACTACAACTTTGCATTTTTTTTATTTCAATTTGACATAGATGAGAGATGCACATTAATAACTGTACATACAGTGCACATACAGAGACTTCATTGCTGGATCAAATAAATTAGCTTTGAGGAAAAAAATAATCAAATATCAGGTAGTTTATACAGGGCTTGAGATGGTGACTTACTAACATGGATTCTGAGAAAAAAGCACCATGTTTAGCTTTCCAAGTAGGACTATCAAGCATTGAATGGTTAAATAGAGCAGAAAGCAATTTTTATTCTTCCTTTTGCCTTTTGTGAGCTTGTTCTTTGTCATCAAAACTACCACTTTCACTTGGAGCTGCCTCTTCACAATATCCATGCGTTCGCTTCAAGATTGTCAGTGTTCGGTTGAGTTCTTCCAAATCTTGCTTGTACACCAAACGAGCCCCACACATTTTCACCATATTCAAGCCTACTTTGAGTCGACATCCTCCCGCATCATAACATGTTTCAAATGAAAACGGTTCCTGACAGTCTTCTCGGGATAAATAAAATATCCAAAGATGTTCTGACATCAAATGCTCTTCTCCAAAAATCCGAAATGAAATCTCAGGCGATAACTGAATTTCGAAACCATAATATTGAAGGGCGTCTGGATTTCCCTTGCGTTGTGCAAAAACAACGCAAAAAGCAATTCCCATCCAGCTGCTACATGATTGAGGAGGTAGCTCCAAATTTAGCGAATGTCCCACAGTTTGATTGTTGAACCACTCGGGTATCCCATTTCCGGGGCATACAATATAATTATACTGACAGATTCCCTGCACCAAAAGAACCATTAGGGGAGAGAAACCATTAGGGGAGAGAGAGAGAGAGAGAGAGAGAGTACCTTAGCGGCGAATTTCACGATCCTTGAATATATTGTATTCATCCAGTCTTCATCTTCAACCAATGTAATGCAATTCCGAGAACTGAAAGTAAAATCATAAATATTGGCGAATCTGCTGCTCAACTTCGAGGGATCCGACAACCTTTTTAAGGAGGTACAACCATCTACAATTACATATAACAAGCTATTTGAAGGAAGATCTGGCAGTTGCTCAAGTCTTTCGCAATCCTTCAAGCAAAGATACTGAAGTTGAGAAAGGCATTTGATGCTTATTGGAAGGGTAACAAAATTGTTTCCACTAAGATCTAAACTTACTAAAGAGGACAAGCTACCAATATCATGGGGGATATCACCTTCACCAAAATCACCATAACGTAGTTGTAAGTCCACCAAACAACGCATATGATTTAAAGAACACAACACCAAACCCCAACAAGGCTCATGGCTCTTTCTAATTCCAAATAAGCGGAGTAGGCCCCACTCGTCCCTTGGCTTACCAATTGATCCACAAGCATGCAGGCGTTTGAGACTTTTCATATCAACTAGTGGCTCTCTTATTGCGTTTCCCCCCAAATCAAGTTCCTCTAAAAACTCCATCTTCCCTGGCAGTTTTTCGATTTTTGAACTTCCCTTGACACACAACCTTTTAAGAGACTTCAAATTACAAATCTCAGTAGGAATATCCAATAGATTTCTGCAATTATTAATACGCAGTTCAGTAAGGCCAACCAGATGTCCAATTGTTGAAGGTAATTTCTCAATCGCAGTCCCACCTAATGAAACATTGGACAAATTTTTCATCTGTTTTGAAAATTCTGGAATTCTTTTCACTTTGGAGCATCCCATAAGATCTAAACGTTCAAGGGAATCCATTTCTAGCTCATTTGGGAGACTCTTAATACTTTTACAGTAATAAAGTTCTAAAACTTTAAGTCTTTTAAGAACTGCAATAGACGGGTGTACCTCTACTAAATTCGTACAAAACATAAGAAACAACTTCTCAAGATTTCGAAGACCAGTAAAATCTGGGGTACTTATCAATTTTTGTGAGATGCTAAGATCAATATATTTCAAGTTGGGGAAATTCTGCAGAATACAAGAAATAATGTATATAAGCTTCCAATTCCAAAAACCTTACAACTTTAATATATGAAATTGAAATGTTTTAAAGATGTTGTAAAAATTTGAAATCAACCCCAAACTTGAGGTGGTAAAGGGTACTTTAGCCTAAAAAAAATGTTAATAGCATTCATTGAATATGTTCTTACCTCTTTTCCATCCCAAAGCCGAACAAGTTTGCTATCACGCATCTTTAGTTCAGTAAGGAAACGCGGGTGAAAGCTTGGTGGAAGAGACTTGGAAGGATACAAACTCCAATTCATAATTCTCAAGGAACACGGAAGAAATTTGGGATTTGAAGAAACGATCAAATTGTCAAATTCCAGAAACCTCAGTCCAGACATGTTAGAGAAGGCTTCACAGTTCCAGTGCACCTCTTCTATTTCGGGTAACCGTAGGCCTATGCCTTCAATAGCTCTTGTCCCCTAATAACCAAGAATGTAGGAAATGTCAATTTCACATTTAGTATCGTGCTAAAAAAATAATATCTTCTATCGAACTTGGTAATCTTACATAACTTCTTACCGTATTGGTCATGAACACATGAAAAATGTCATTAGGAAGCCACAACCTACTCCGCAAGCCAGGCTCTTTAGACTCGTTACCAACAATTCTCCATGCCATTTCTTGTATCAAATCATGCATCCCTATCTCGCTGTACTGGACTGAAGTATCATACAGGAAGCATTTTTCAGAGGTTAGGAGAGATTTCTCAATTAGAGCATCTATCAAGATCCGGCTTGAAATATCAAAGGAATTGTCTAGTATTTCAATTACTCGCTGCGTGTGCTTCCCTTTGTGAAAACATGCAACATCGAGAAAAATTCTCTTCTCCATCTCTTCTTCTAGTCCATCATAACTTATTTTGAGTTTATCAAAAATTGTTGGATTAGGAATTTTTTTTAGATTATCCCGTACACTATTCCATGCATCTAGACCTCTCTTAAACAAAGCCGACCCCAACTGTTCAAGAGCAAATGGAAGGCCTCCAGCATGATTAATGAAATACTTAGACAGTTCCAAAAACCCGTCTTCGGGCAGATCTTTCTTAAAGGCATGTTGACTAAACAGAGCAAGAGCTTCATCATCATTTAACAACTTGACACCATGACATAAAGTTATGCCATGCTGGACTAGCAAACGTTCATTTCTAGTTGTAAAGATAATTCTACTCCCACTACCAAACCAATCTTCTTTTCCAGCTAGTACTTGTAGCTGGTTTATTTGATCCACATCATCAAGTACAAGAAGAACCTTTTTGTTGCGTAAGCACTTCTCAGTGTATATGATTCCCAACTGTTGATCCCAAACTTTCTCAATCTTTTCTTTCAAGACTGGGAAAAGAAGTTGTTGTTGAAGACTAAATAGAGTACGATCTCTGATATTTGCGAGAAAGCAGTAAACTTCAAAATGATGGAAGATTCTATCATAAACTAGCTTGGCAAGGGTTGTCTTACCGATGCCACCCATTCCCGTTATCCCTATAAAGCGAACATCATTGGCATCATGAGCTAATAGCAAACTTAGTTGCTCAAGCCCAAAATTAATTCCGACCAATTTCTGTGAGGAATCTGACACGGTGAACGCAGCCTGCACCTTCCTCCGCACACTATTGACGATTTTTTTCAATAAGCTCACTTTCACACCTACAAGGTATAAAATAACCAATAAAAAAACATAAGCGAAGCATTCAAGTTTGACTCTGTTAAGACATGGGAAATTAAAGTTGTTCATGCATGCTTACTTGTATTGCTTTGAATGCCAACCAGAAATTTTGGACAGTCTTTTTAGATCAGCCTTCCATTGGACAACCTTCTTTTTATCTTCGGTAGTGATGAACTTTTCTTCATGCTCCGCGAAGGCTTTGGCAAAAGATCCCCGTTGATTTCCAACGTCGGATGGATCTGTCTCGTAAAAGACCGGCAGAACTGAGTTCCTAGCTTCCATGCATTGAAGAATGGTTGTAAGTTCATTCAAGCACCATTTGGAAGAAGCATAGTTTGGTGAAAGAACAACGATTGCAATATGCGATTCTTTTATCGCACTCGGGAGCTCAAGAGGAATACTTGTTCCTTCTTCAAGCTCTCGATCGTCAAGGAAAGTTGTAATTCCTTGGAACTTGCACAATTCGTGGTATAAATGGGATACAAAACCTTTGCGGGTGTCTACACCCCTAAAACTCAAAAACACATCGTACTTCCATCGAGGAGCTGATTCCAGAGAAAGAAGTGGTGCAGAGGCTCTTTGGGTGCTCATCGCCATTGCAAAGCAAAAACGGTGTGGCCGCCAATGGTTGGAGAAATTTGAAGAGGAAGAAGAAGTGAGGGAGGCGCTGTGGGATTGGTTGGAGAAATCTGCAGAGGAAGAAGAGGGACGAAACTGGATCTACAATTGCAGAAACGGAATGGCTGAAGGCGGCAGTGGTTTAGACTTTTAGCACCTTCAGCACGCTTTAGACTTTAGTTAGGCTTTTTTATCAGGAACTTTAACGAGAGAGAGGTTTTGGGGAAAGGAAATAATGAAAGAGAGAAAGGGTGAAGGTTGTAGGGAAAGCCAAGTGGGACGATGGGAATCAATCCAACCAGAAAACAACAAAATGAAGACCAAGAAGCAGACTTAATTGGCAAGAAAAAATTGAGAAAAGTCAGTGAGTGTGAGTGTGTGACTACCTACTCCTACTCCTGCTCCTTAATTGGACCAAAAATAATTATTCATTTTTTGGGGGCCTCCATGCATTATGGGTGCGGTTTTCAACTACTTGCTGGACGCTTTCCAACTAGACTTGTAAACGGGTTGGGTTTATTGGGTTTGGGTCAGATTGAATCCGACCCGTTAATTTAACGGGTCATCCGAATTCAACCCGTTAAGCTAACGGGTCACCCGAACCCAACCCGTTAAGCCTAATAAGTCACCCGTTTCACCCGTTAACACCCATTAACAATTTTTTTTGTTTTTTTTTTTAACATTTTGCATTCCAATACAAATTACACATCTTTTACCCAAAATTACAAACATTATATATATATATTTTGCATTCCAATACAAATTACACATCGTATACAGTTGCTTTTAGTTTTAGTTTAGCTGATCTCAATCATTTCACTCGTCAATGTCATCACTTCCAACCTGCTTCCTAGCTTTCCACCATCTCTCCCTACTGTCGCTACTCCAGAAACCATATCTCCTTACTCACCCCTTATACATTTTTGTAATAGTCTTAACGATTAACGAAATCCAACTCGTACTGTGATGGAAATTTAAGAATCAGAGAAAAATAAATCAACTTTCCCACATCCATATTTAAAAGCTACGAAATTCTAATAAAAAGTACGAAATATACAGAATCTACGAAACCAAGAACCAAAGCAGGAGAAACCGATAAACAATCGGAACCCATTCGTCAAACCTGACAAACTAAGGATACCCAGAAACTAAAACGATGAATTATTGAGAAATGTAGAAAAATCGGAACCCATTCTTCTAACTTACCGGAGAGAGGGTGGCAGAACTTAGTGAACGGCAGCCAACTTTGAGGAAGAAGATGAGGGAGAGAACGGCGCCACTCAGTCGGGTTCGAACGTGAGAGAACATAGAGAGCTAGGTTTTCTATTCCAACTATAAAATTACACAAAAGTCCTTCTTAACGGGTGTTAACGGGTTTCGCGGGTTGACTCAAAATGACCCGTTACTTAACGGGTGACTAACGGGTTGACCCGTTAACAACCCAACCCGTTAAGCACTTACCCAAATACTAGTTTTAACGGGTCGGGTCGGGTCGGGTTAACGGGTTGGGTTCAAAATGCCAGCCCTGCTTCCAACTACTAAGATTGCAGCGTTTTTTGACTAGTGGGATTAATTTAAAGCGAAAACGACCGATGAAATAATTGAGAGAAATTGGTTGAGGCTAGGCATCATCAAGGATTAACTTTTAAATGTTAATTAACAAATCGACACTAGCTACTAGGTCCTTTTTTAGATTAGATTCAAAACAAGTAGCTTTTAAATGTTAATTAACATCGAATAACTTAACCAAATTCTGAAGAGGGAAGAACATTTCCTCAACAAAGAAACCCTAAGCTCTTTAATTTTCATTCATCATTTAAGTTTGATTTAGGCATCGGAAGACATTTGATTGACAAAGTCTATCCTGTTTATTCTTTTATTTGGTGGCAGATATTCGTTTCTAATTCTATTCCTCACCTCATCATTCTAACTATAGATTTTGTTCAAAAAAAAAATCATTCTATCTATGGATGAACCAAATAACACCGAATAATTAACAAAGGTAAGATAACAACAACAATAAAATGTGATGTGTAGTGTAGTGTAGCGTAGTAGGGGCAAAATTAACAATTTCTGCAAGAAAAATAAAACTATTTTCCACTAAAAACAAAACAAAAGATGGAAATGTACCAAAAAGTCAGGATCGGTGGCTTACCCCTTGTTGTCATTGAGCAAGTCGTAGTTGTGGTGGAAAAAATGCGGAATTGTTGTGCTACAGCTAGTCTAGTCCCATCCCATGGCAACCCATTTCATCTGAGGGATGAAGGAGAGATGATTCAGTACTGTGTCAATACTCAACTCTCAACTTTGGTTTGTTCAGTATCATTTAGTACTACAGTTTAATAGTATTCTTCTTCACTTGAAAATGGGAGGTTTTATGTTCAATTTTTGTTAAAAACGAATTTTAAGCACTTTATTAGGACTCACCCATTGTGAGCCTTAGGTCACACTTCTTTAGTGTAGATAATATCGTTTATTCAAAAAATAACTCTGGTTTGTTTGGTTTGGTTTTGTACGATTATGGGTTGGACTTGTGTATTTTGTACTTTTAGGCTTTAGCCTTGACTTTAAATCTTTCTAGGAAGTAGATGGTTGATTTTGATGGTTATAATTTTTCTTTTCAAACCACTCTGTCTCATGTTCAAACTTTCTTATTCTTATAAATGTAGTTAGCGTACAATTTAGCTTGAAAAAAAAAACTTAGGGGAATTTCAAGCCAATTTCATTCTTGAATAGTAAAAAAAATCTTCTAGTCCATAGGACTATAATGCGAGTGAAAAACTAAGAGCTTGTTTGGTGTCCTATTTAAAAACTTTTATAATTTCTCAAAACATTTCTTAAGAATTTCATTGAAAACAATTTTCTTTAAGACTCAAAAACTTATTTGGTTTGCGATTTAAAATTTCTAAATCTTATAACTTAAACTGGACAAAGAGATCCAAAAAGAGGGGTATGAGAGAGAAAGAGGATAAAGGAGGAAAGAAAGTAAGAGATAATTGGAGGAAAGAGAAAAAAGTGAGAGGATCGGAGGAGATAGAGAGGAAGAGGAGCGAGAAAAAGAATCGAGAGAATGAAGAGAGCGGATTGGAGGAGAGACGAAAAAGGTAAAAAAAGAAAGAAAGAGAAGGGTGAGAGAGAGAGAGAGAATAAAAGATAGATTTGGAGTGAGAGGGGAGGAGGGAGAGAAAAGAAAGGAGTGAGTTTAAGTTTAAAAACTCTAAACACTTACTTTTTCTGTTTTTAGATAATAGACTATATTTTTGAGTTAGTCTTGAATTCAGTTTTTGAAAATAGTCATACCAAACAAGTTTTTAAGGCCTAAAGCTTGAAAATTGTTTATGAGTTTGTTTGTACCATACTTGACAAATCTCGAAACTACTGAGCACCGGTCAACGTTATACCGTCAAGGACCCAGAAGAGTTTCCCTCCAACCAGGAGGCCAATCACAGCGCCACACGTGTCAACATCAGAAGCCAATCATAGCGCGACACGTGTCAACATCAGAAGCCAATCACAACACGACACGTGTCAATGTCAGAATGAAACTAGAAACTCTCTTCTATAAATAGAGATCATTTTTTCACAATATTTACTAATGTCATTTGTACTAAATCATTCACTAGTACTCACAAAAGGAGAGCTTGAACCTATGTACTTGTGTAAACCCTTCACAATTAATGAGAACTCATCTACTCCTCTACTCCGTGGACGTAGCCAATCTGGGTGAACCACGTACATCTTGTGTTTGCTTCCCTATCTCTATTCATTTACATACTTATCCACACTAGTGACCGGAGCAATCTAGCGAAGGTCACAAACTTAACACTTTCTGTTGTACCAAAGTCTTTACTGATTTTGTGCATCAACATTTGGCGCCGTCTGTGGGAATGACACTTATTCCCACTTTCTTCAGCTTTGTCAAGCTGGTTTCCACCATTCGTACACTCTATTTTGACCAGGCATCCCTCTCCAACATGAGGAGCGAAGGAAGCCACAGCACACAGAATGACACCCCTCTTGCACCTAGTGCGAAACAACGAAAGAAGGAAGGAAAGAGGGTTGCTCTTCAAGCTAAAGTTGATGAGCTAGAAGCTCAGAACAACAAGATAGCAATGAACAACAAGTTGAGGTCCTCCAGGAGCAGTATGAGAAGCTCTTTGAGACGCTCCACAAAACTAGGCGTACTCAAACACGCGAGCTCGTTGCCCTTGTGGACATCAACCATCATCTGGGTGCCCCCCAACCAGGAGGGTCACATTTCTTCGACATGGGTATCCCTGATGAGGAGCGAGTTAATCATCAAAACATTGATCAACATGAGACTTCTCTCAACCCTGCTGCTTCGACCCGAAACAGGAGAAGTGGAGGAAGACACCTCCTTGCAAAAGGGTTGGAAGGATCGAAAGCCGTTTATCACGACTGCTGAGACTTCCTAAAACAACGTCGAGAGAATCCTCTTTATATATGCTCGAAGATCAATAACCCAAGGGTTTCTGAAAGACTCGGTCCCCTCCCACGACCCAAGCCAGCTGCCAATCTAGGGAAGGAACGACAGGTCCTAGAGGAAGATGAAGGTACATGGGACTCTGAGGTATTCCGACAGACTCGCCCTAGAAGTCAGTACGACGAGTCCAAGGAAAAATCACACACCCTTGCTCAAACTTTCCTACTTCCAAGAGACGATGAAGACTTACGAAAGAAAATCCAGTGGTACATGACTCTACTCAGGACTCCCTTATCCTACAACTCCTTGAGGAAGTAAACAAGTTGAAGGCCGAACATCAGGCCGAGATACCTGACTGGAACCAACCCAGGCCTGGCCCTCTCACAAGGAGGATCCTCGACACCCCCTTCAAGCGAAGACAAAACAAAAGCTTAGTTTACAACTCTATACTGGAAGGGAGGACCTAATTGAACACCTTAACCTCTTTGAGTCCACCATGGCATATCGGATGCATACCGATGAAAAACGATGTCTTCTCTTCCCCTCCACCCTTTTTGGTGGAGCTCTAAACTGGTATTGCCGTCTTCCACCTAAGACAGTAGACTCATTTGAGGAACTGAGGAAATTGTTTGTCTCTCAACACATCTTCCAGACCAATCGTTTGCATTCTGCAGATGACTTGTACATTATTTGCCAGAAGCCGGACGAGTCACTACGAGAGTATGTCGGTCGTTTCAGCCATGAGTATTCTCGCTGTGCTGAGGCAGATGACAAGACCGCCCTCAAGGCCTTCACGGCAGGTCTACGTGATTATATCTTCAAGTACATGATCA